AGCTCGATTGAGCTCAATATCAGCTGACATTCATAATGAAAACATCAATGAAGACAAAGGATGCTGGTTGTGGTTTGGAAGTTTTTCAGTATCCTTTCTGCAAAGCACTGCAGGAGGAAGTCACTGCACAGCCATAAACATCTTGGCTCTGTGTACTGAAATATCAGCGATTTACATTTTTACATTCTTACATTCTGACTGTACAGCCTCCAGCACTTCAACTGAAATCATCTGTAACTCTTAAATAATTCATTAATGCTTGAATTCTTTTTTTCAGTGAACTTTATATAAAACTTTAAAAGATATCTGCTGGGTATCTAATGAATGGTTGATATTTGGAATGCTGAGTAAAATAGTTCCTGTACTGTGACCAGCCTGGGTCACCAGTTGAGAGAAAAATAAGAGAAAACAAGTAAAACAAGTGAGCAGCATAATAAACACAACACCACCGAATTAAACAACAGTAAGTACTAAATATTGAATGTTGTTGTGCAGCACGCAGGACCGACAGCGTAATAATAATAATAATTAATAATTTCTGTCCACTATAAAGGAGAACATCACAGCCTGATACCTGCAGGTCTGACAGCAGCAGGTGTGTCACTCCTGTTTCTACCTGGAGACAGCAGTCGCCTTATTGTTCTGACACACAACACTACACACTAACTACGCAAGACAACACATTACACACTTACTCAAAAATCCAGCGTGTCCAGAACTCTGCTGCCCGTATCATCACCAGGACCCCTTCTGTCCACCACATCACTCCTGTCCTGCAGCAGCTTCATTGGCTCCCGGTCAAATATCGTATCAATTTCAAAATACTCTTGTACAAATTTAAGGCTATCCATCATCTCTCTCCTCCATATCTCTCTGATCTGGTTCAGATGAATTATTGAATCAGACCTAGATGGCATGAAATTTTCAGCAAAATTATAATTCAAATATTTTCAGTTGCGCAACATTAATCGTCTCCATGCTTTTCTCACCCCACATGCCACTGCCATTCTTGTCCATAGCCTTGTTACTTCCCGGATTGATTATTGTAATTCACTTCTTTTTGGTCTTACTCAAAATCCACCCACAAGCTCCAACGTGTCCAGAACTCTGCTGCTCATATTATCACCAGGACCCCTTCTGCCCACCACATCACTCCTGTCCTGCAGCAGCTTCATTGATATCGCATCAATTTCAAAATACTCTTGTACACATTTAAGGCTATTCATCATCTCTCTCCTCCATATCTCTCTGATCTGGTTCAGATCACTGCCCCATCTCTGTGTCTTAGATCTTCTTCTTCCCTTTCACTCTCTATCCCCTCTCCCCGTCTTGCCACCATGGG